TTTCATCTTTCGTGTGGCAGACAGCGTCAGAGCGAGAAGTGATTTACGAACAATCATAGGATTAGGCTAAAAGTGAATGTATTAAGAGCTATGATGATGAGCTTTGACTATGATGAGAAGGACGGACGTATCAAAGTCGCCTGACGATGAGCCGAGGAGTTTTTTGCACACGCCAAAAGTTTGTCACTCCAGAACAATCTTGCTTCGATTTTTGATGAGGCCAAAGTTTTGCATCAAAGTACAAGGTCTAACTATGCTAATTTGTCGGGAGGTTGTTGGAAAATTATTACTTTTCTTATATATAATCTTAATTGTAACATTATACTACAATCGGGTATAACATATTCTATCCATACAACATTTTGGTATGATTTTGCACAGTACAATCGCTGTATGCTTTTGGATGTGAGCCCTTGTTCCGGTCGGAGCCGGAAGGCCTGAAAGCGACCATCTGGAAGCCACGAAAAGGTTAAAAAGGAATCATTGTCGAAAGATACCTCCTCCCTTCGAGGCAGAACTCACCGTCTTTTGAGGCCACGTCAACTGCCACCCATTCGGAGAGGAGACGACGAGCTTTGTCGTCGATCTTTTGCGTCACCAGCGCGAATTCGTACGTCCGTCCGGGCGCGAGGCGTGAAATTACTGTTTCTGGTAGGGTGTAAATGAATTGTGAAAAAGCTTGGCCCAAAACGATATCATTAATGAAAGATTGGAGAGTTTGATGATTGAATTGTCCACTGAAAAGTAAGCAGAAGAGCTCCCGGTCCCTGTGCAAATCACACCACACATTTCAAATAAAAACATGTGATGGAGAGCTTCCGGTTGGTTGGGCTCATCAGCTGGCGACACTGCATTTAACTTGGTCGGCAGTGGTTCGGTCTTATTCAAGATTTGCGCAAAGTAAGGTCTGGATAGTTTCCTACTTTCACGCAACCAGCGTGAAAGGAACATTAGGTTCACGATGGAAATAGAGGAGAAGAAGTCCTTACTTTTTCTGGATGTTCTCATCATTTGAAAAGAGGGTAGGTTACGAAGAGATGTTTATGGGGAGCCGACATATGTTGAATCTCTACTTAATTTTATTTCCAACCATAGTTACAAGACTAAGGCTGGAATTTTAAAGTCAATGATAGCAAACATTTGAACAAAGAGTTGTAACGGCTGACAAATTTATTCCTGAAAAATAATTATACTTTGGATCTTATTGAGCATAATATCTCTCCATTGAGGAATATATTTTCAGGCGGAGACCATTTAGATACGAAGAGAAACTTGGTTTCGATGAATCTCCTGAGATAACATTGTTAGGGGGACCTTCATT